ATCGACACCAGTGGTGGGTGTCGCTCGACACCAATGTTTCATTCCGTGAAGATAGTTACGACTCGTGAACGGAGTGTCGAGGCCGGTGTCGACCACGAGGGTCGACAGCGAGTGTAGATCGACACTAGTGGTGGGTGTCGATCGACACCGATAGTCAGAAGCGTTTCATGTTCATCTTTTATTGGTTGTTTGGTTCTTTTCTTTGGATAATGGTTGAATGTGCTTGTGTATATAGCCAGTGGTGGCATGATTGCCTCACTAAGTATTTATGAAATACTTATGCATCTTTTTCTTTGATGCAGGTAAAAGCAAAGTGTGACCTGTGGAATCATGACGAGGAGAGGAGGATGATCTAGGCGCTCATTGGTGTTTTAGATTATTGTAGGATTTGTTAAGGTGTTAGAATGGAACTTAGAAGCATGTTAGGATGATTATGTTTCTGGAATAATATTGGTTGAACTTGTTGGTTTAATGGAATTGTTTATTTGGATTTTTATTAAGTCTTCCGTTGGTTTCATAAGTATTTATGAAATACTTATGCATCGTTTTCTTTGATGCAGGTAAAAGCAAAGTGTGACCCGTGGAATCATAGCGAGGAGAGGAGGATGATCTAGGTGCTCATTAGTGTTTTAGATTATTGTAGGATTTGTTAAGGTGTTAAAATGGAACTTAGAAGCATGTTAGGATGATTATGTTTCTGGAATAATATTGGTTGAACTTGTTGGTTTAATGGAACTGTTTATTTGGATTTTTATTAAGTCTTTCGCTGGTTACGTTGATTTGTTCGTTTTAGTGAGATTGTCTGGTTTAACTGTTTTGATCCATTTAGAGTCGGTTTAGCTGGTTAACTGGTTGCTTTAAATGAGTTAATCCGGTTTGCATGTTTTAAAAAAAACGGGATGGGTTCTTTCAATGTTAAATAATCTGTTATCGGAATAAAATACGTATTATCTATTAAATTAATACTAATACCTATTCATCACTAATGATAGAATTCGGTAACACTGTTTATCAGTGATTAATAACATTCGATAACTTATTTTTAATAGATCACTGATGTCTATATATATAAAATTATTAAAAAAAAAATAAAAAAAATTGTCAAACGCAGCGTGTGTATCTTAGATTCTCTACAAGCTCACTACTACATTTGCAACATATGCAGACTTTGACGACGTAGATAAAGAAGATATTATTACATAAATGTAAAGTTAGCCGGATAAGTTATAGTCTAACCGCCTACTAAATAAAAAGTCCCAATAAATTTAAAGTTATCAGCTACATTTCCTTTTATCTATGTACTAATGATCTTCAAACTGAAATATAATTTTGTATAATTACAAAATCTAAACCCTAACCACTATTTTATCAACCCTAACCGAGATATAATTTCGTTGAATTACAAAATCTAAATCCTAACCACAAGTTTTTCAACCCAAACCAAAATATAATTTCGTCTAATTACAAAATCTAAACCCTAACAACTATTTTGTCAACCCAAACTAAAATATAATTTCGTTTAGTTACAAAATCTAAACCGTAACCACTATGCTGCCAACCCAAACTAAAATATAATTTTGTTTAGTTACAAAAACTAAACCCTAACCAATAATTTAAAACTCAAACCGAAATACATTTTTGTTTATTTATAAATCTAAACCCTAACCATTCTTTTGTAAATCCAAACCCTAAATCCGATAAAACTGTTCATCAGTGATTAATAAAATTTGATAACGTATTTTTAAACACGTTAAATAACCTGTTATCGCGGTAATTTACATACTATCCGGTAAATTAATATTTACATATTATCCTTTCATATTATATGTTCATTATTTCTAAACATGTTACGTACTCTGTTATCGCGATAATTTACATATTATCCGTTAAAGTTGGATCGACCCAAATGAAAAAGTTTATGGCGAGAGAAGATCTTGCTCAAAAAAACCAACGAAAGCTCCGCTTGAATTGTGGCCAAATGACTGGCCGACTACTGATAATCTTAACAGGTCTGTCGCTGAACGCTTGATTTAAAAGATTTTATTTCTCAAGCCCGGGAATGGTCGACTACTCAAAATACTCCAATTCAAATCCAAAGGCAAGCTACGCTAAACTTGGCGATGGACTTGAGCGTTGATACCATCAGATGCTTCTCATATGCAGCTTGGCGAGGATACACGAAAGAATCGGATGGATCTTTATTGATTATCTCTCCAGATCTGAGCTACAAGGTAGATCTGCTTCTGCAAATGACTACTCCCCTCCCATGGCCGAGGCTATTGTTGTGAAATTTTCCCTTAAATAAGCTATAGAGCTTGGCTACAAAAAACTTTCTTTTGCTTCAGAAATTTGTTTATCTTTTGTTCCTCGTGAGAAGAATAGCAGAGCAGACCAAAATGCAAAAGCTGCTTTTATTGTACCAACTACTGAATCAATTTGTATTTAATGAAAACCAAAGTTTTAGAAGATGAAAAAATGTCGTAGCTTTGTAGAGGGATAAGAGGAAGAAAATTGTTAGAAAAAAAAGACTCAGTTAATGAATTATGAAGGCTAGATTATTAAATAAATAGTCAACTAGGTATATGAGTTGCAATTTCCCTTATCCTTTAGCCATAAAAAAAAAAAGAAAAAAAAGAAGAAAGAAGAAACAATGAGAACAAAGTCCAGTTATTTAAATGAACATTAGTTGCACAAGTTTATGTAATTAGCTCGTATGCAACAAACTTACCATTATTTATTTTCTTTGTCAGCCAAAATTCATTAATATGAAAGCGGTGCATATAAACTAAAGTCATTTTAGTTAGTAAAACATATATTAAAAAAATATATTAAAATATATTAAACACCTTTAATATTTTCTTTTGTTTCATATACCTTCTTCTATCATCAATTCATCTTCTTCTCCTCTATCCTAGTTATTTGCATATTATGCATTATTATTGTGTATATTATATCTATGAACCTTCTTAAAAGCAAGAATCTTTCGAGTTTCAATTTAAACATGCATGTTTGTTCAGACTATTTTGGTTCAACTATATATGTCGAGTTTTGCTCAAAATATACTAAAAAATGCTATATCATCACGCTTTAACTGGTCAGACTATGTAGTCTGATCCAAGTCTAAAAACTTTGGATGAAAAATCAGTATATGAAAATAGGGGAAAAGAGTGTGAAACTATTACTAGCAAAATAATTATGTGGTATTAATTATTATAATTTGATTTGTTATAGTTTTTAATGATGTGTCAGCTCTTAGTGATATAAAAAGTTGATATGTCCTTACATGAGAAAAAATATTATTTTTTATTATATTGATATATATATATATATTGGTGATTTATGGGACTTGTAATTGTAATTCATGCTTGGTGATCTCTTAATAGCAAATAAAAAGTTCATCTAATTACACTATATAATCATCAAAATGAGTTAACATATTGTGTGGATCTTAATAAATTGTTTTGTTTAATACAGTAAAACCTCTATAAAATAATAATGTTGGGACCATGATATTTTATTAATTTATAATAATATAATTTTTTTATAAGTTAATATTTATTATTTTACTATACAAATTAATAATTATCAATTTATAGTGATATTTTTAGTTGTTAAATTTTTTTTTCAAATATAAATTGGGAAAATTTTACAAAAATAAGATTAGATTTTTAAATATTATAGATAAACTCACTTATACAATGATATACACAAATTCAAATTTATGATTAATGACCTCAATTTTTATATTTTAATATCCTATAAAACTAAAAAAAATATGATTCATAATTTGAGTTTGAAAAGATACAGAATATTTTAGTTATTTTTATATACATGTTATGAATTATATTACAAAAATACAGTTTAAAAATATAACATAAAATTATTTTATACAGATGATTTTAAGGAGAAATTTTATTTTTACAAAAACACGAAACATTACATTACTATATCTACTTGTATATATATATATATAATATATATATATATACATACATATACAATGATTATTAGTTTTTGATATTATTAGGAATATATTTTACATGAAAATTTCAAAAAAAATACTATCTTATTATCTTATCGAGTTTGGTTAATTTTAAACTATCCCGACTGAGGACCAGCAAAATTTATTAATTTATAGTGTTTATTAATTTATAGAGGTTGTACAATATATAATTTGTTTTGTTCAATCAGTCACCTTGAGCTGATATTTTATCATAATCAATCACCTTGTATATAATTTGATAATATCTTGCATACTCATGCATTGTTTACTTTTTTTTTACCATGGATTGATCCCTAAATGCTACATCTACTTTTCCATACACTTGCAATTATATGAAGGTATGGTTTTAAAACATTCATATAGCAGTGAAAGTGATCTAATATTTTGCTCTGTTTTATTTCTTGCATTTCGCAACATTTCCATAATCGAGCCCTTGCCATAAATTACGAAACCTTTAATTCTATGTGAAATTCTCTTCAGAGGTGTGTCTTCTGCAAAGTAACATTTAGAGGAATGGCACAAGACACAACACTTTCTAGAACTGTGACACAACCCATTGATCATTACCACCATCTTCCAACACATAGCATTCGTTAGAGGCAATCTGAACGATCCAAAAAAGCATCTTCAAGATAGGAGATCCAAAACACCTTTAATATCAATAGTGTGATTGAAGAAGTTAAGTGGATGAACCTATCAAAACTCCACTGCTGGATCAAACCAAATTATATTTTAAATATCCTTAACCATGATCAGCTATGAGGAGGTTGTACAAGTAAAGCATGTAAAGGAATGAGCAGTTTAAAAGCAAAGGAACTAGAATTAAAGACCAACACAAAAACAGGACACACAAGAAAGCCAACTATTTTTATATAGAGATTGGACGAGTTTAAATTGAAATCTATATGAAAATCTTGAAATAACAATGATAGCTTTTTAATGGATGCATCATTTACAAAATGACATGTCTTCTAAGAACCAAATCAACATATGTAGATGTAACAAGATGGACAGTCACATAATGTGAGTCATAGTAATGCATATAGGAAAAGTAATGTACACAAGAAATGTTCATTTCTACAGGCTTTCAAACACAAATCAACCATACAAGAGAGAAGAAGAGACTTGGTCCTTCACATAACATAATTGAACAAAAAAATAAATCTATTTTACTTTTGGCTTTAGATGAACTAATTTAGAAGGCGAATCGTCCTATTTGCATGTAAGGCAAGAAAGTCTTCTTCTTCAAATCTTTTGTTTGTGCTTTCTTAGCCATGTAATGGAACTCATGGGCTGAGACAGATGGTGAAGACCCTTTTCCTCGTGAACTCGAGTTCTTGGTGTCTTCTTGCTTCCTAAAGAACCCCGAAAACGTCTTTACGGATTCTTTACTATGCCTTGCTCTTCCCTCTGATGCGCTACGGAACAGAAGAAAGTCCTTTAGCCTCCATTTTCTTGAAGAAGATGACTTGCAAGACACGCAAGTTGATGAAGATGTGGACGGAACAGAAGACAAAGACACTTTCCTCTGTTCTTGTACCTCTCTCTGTTCTTGTTCTTGTTCTTCCCATGGATAAGCTGAAACCCGAAAAGGAGAAAGTGATCGGGCGACTCTACGGTTCGAGTTTTGACGTCTCCCTCTCCCTCTTTCTTCTTCTACACCGTTCCGAGCGTTATCCATAGCCACCTCAAAAGGATCCACCTCTACCGGTTTCTTTCTTGGAGAAAAAGCTTTGCGAATAATGTCTTTACCGTGAGCAATAGGTGATCTCGGAGACCTTGGAGATACAATCTGAGGCTGATGATGATGCTGATGATCTAATTGTAAATACGGAGGAGGCTTCAAGGGTTTGATTTTGCCTCCATCAAAAAGCTCTTCAGCAAAAAGCGACGTCGTTTCAAGCTTCTCACCAATCTCGAAAGCGAAATCATCGACAATATCATCTTCTTCATCGTTGATGATCTTCCTAGGAGTTCCCGGAGTCTCTTCCCAATCAAAAGGAACCGTAAGACGGTCGGAGAAGTTTCTTGCTGTCCCCTCGTTGAATTCTCTATAGAACTCTGTGATTCTTCTAGGGCTTGTTGGTGCACTTAAGAAGCAACCAGAGAATTGTCTTGGTGAAGATGGAGCAGTCAAACTCATCACTTCCATTGTTTCTGATATCCAATGAGTTCGGAGATGGTTTCAAGAAACAATGAGATGAAGGGAACTAAAAAGGATCATTGAAGGAAGGTGAGAGGAAAGAAAGAGAGCTTTAGACCGTTTTCGCTGACCAAACATATAATATTAAAAAACAACATTTGGCACGATATGAATAATTGCAATATTTTAAGAAATTTTTAATAGCTTTTAAGTAATGACTTATAGTTTTTGTTTGTATATATATACCTCTCTATTAAAAGTGAGACAAATACATTTTGTTTCAATATGCTATCCTTATCCCAAAGCCATGAAGTTTCTTCCTCAAAATTAATCTCTTTCCCTTAAAATATTTTGATTGATACTAAAGGTAAAGGAATAAAAAAAAAAAGACTTTGGGCATGTCTTATAATATTTTCTTTTTAGAATGATTATCTTCTAAGAGTGTGTACGATGATTTTTCTTGTAGCATAACCTTACTTTTTTCGGATAAAAAAAAAATTTACAAAAAATTGGCGACAAAAAAAGAAAGAATGTTTTACAAAATGTATGCAAAACATTTTCCTCTAAATTATTTTACAATTTTCTTGTGTGTATTGATTAGATTTATATAATTTCATGAATCTTCCTTTATGTTATTACTAAACAACTTACTGAATCCAATACAAATATAACCCAAATATAACTTTTAGAATCAATGATGAGTTTCACATTTTTTTAAGCAAATTTTTAGATTTGCCATTTTTGTACAATATATCTTATGGATTTATCATTTATCAAATTACAAAAACGCAATTAATTTTTTTTATTCACTATATTTGGGTTTTTGTAGATTCAATTTTTTTTTAAAGCTTAACATTTACTAAAAAATTTGTATTTTAGCAAAAAAAAATATCATATAGATATTTTGAAGTGTTCCAAATAGCATATTTATAAAAAACAAATAAACAAAAATAATATATTTGTAAGATTTTTCTTTGAAAAAATGTCAGTTTTCTTAAGAATACCAATAACTATTATATATAAAATTAGAACCAACATTCTTCTAGCCTTCAAGTTAAGACTATCCAAGTATAGTTTTAACAAAAAAATTATTGTACGTTAGCAAATAACACTTTTATACAGATTGTGTCTATATCAATCGGTTCGAAGTCGTATGTTAGACAGTTAGACTAATGAACATAAAACACATTAAATCATAAAATAAAAAATCTTAGTTGAGAGTTGGAACCAAATAGATTTTTTTTTTTAATGTTTTGGAATTATATTCCAAATGATAAGAATAGTAAACCATTAAACAAGACAGGGCCGCCTTTCCCGACCGCATGTGTCTGAAATATTAAAGTTGTTTAATGTACAAAAAAGATTAGTCTATAATGATGTATGGTGATGACCACACTTCATCTTTTGAATTTTCAATCAAAATTCCCAAGTCGGCATTGACCACATGGTTGTTGGACCTTACGAAAGCATAGTTTTAAAGATCACGAGGCCAATTTAACCAGTGGTCCTAATAAATAATGTATATGATTCAAATTTAATTCAGTCACCAAACGAGAGGACTTTTGTGGTCTACTTAGAATTTGTTTTCACACGATCCATCTAGATACTCTTTGATAGTGGCTAAAGGATTCAAAGTTTTGTACCAATCTGTTTTTGTTAATATGTGACCATAAATACAAGATTGCAAAAATCTACGTTACATGGAAACTCTTTTCGAACTGCGTTTCCCGTTTCCAAAACGTTTCAGAAACAGAAACTCTCGGAAACTCGGAAACTATCCATGGAAACACGATTCCTAAAAATTTCTATTTGGAAACTCGATGGAAACTCTCGTTTCCGTTTTTAGATTAAAATAATATAAAATATAAGATATATATTGTGATTAAAAAAAAGGTTATATCTATCTCTAATAAAAAAAGATGTAAAATAAATAAATCATGGTCCTAATCATATGTGGGATGATGGAGGTGATCAACTTGATTCATTAAATGAGTCTAATCTTGGGAGACTTGAGTCTGAAGATCTTTCTATAGACGAATCTGATATAGAAGCTGTTTTATTTGATAAAAATGATAATGGTGATGCTAGTCCAAACATTTGAATTTGAGCGTTTTAGTATTATCTTTTAGAGTTTTGTTTAACTATTTAGTATTTATGTTTTCAAAAGTTCTTTTTTTTTTAATATGGATTTTATATTTGGTATTTTAGTATATATATATATATATATAATTATATATATACGTTTCCAAAACGTTTCCATTCCTTAATTTTCAAAAATTCCCGTTTCCCGTTTCCGAAACGTTTCGTTTCCGCATATGCGTTTCCGTTTCCATGCAACCTAGGCAAAAATAGACTATTCTTTTCATCCTATATAAAATTATATATTTTGTATCACCCGATAAAATACTATTATGCAAATCGATATTAATCCCGCTACAAAATACTCTATCTGTTTCAGAAAAATATTATTTTAGAAAATTTACACAAACTAAAAAAAAAACATTAAACTATACATCTATGCCTATATTTAGTAAGTGATTTATGAGTATAATTAGTGATTTGTCAGTATAATTAGTGATTTAAGGGCAAAGTTAATATAAACGGTGCATTGAAAAAATAGAATGACACTTTTTGTGAAACAAAAATAAAATTCTAAAATGCAATTTTTTGTAAAACATGAGTAAAAGTTATTTTGCAAAATATATTTTAAAAATATTAGTATAGATTAAAATTAAATTTTAAATTTTCAAATTAAACCATTAGTGCTAAACACCAGACCCTATTTCCTAAAAAACTATATCTTAATTTAAAAAATTAAATTCTAATTTTTGACAATCAATTTTTTGTATTTGGCATATTTAGGGAAAGCCAAAAATTCTAATGGTATTTTTGAAACATAAAATTAATAGTACTAATTTTGGCAACAAAACTTGAAAATGTGGTATTTTGAAAGAAAAAAAATATTCCGAAAGCAATTTAACAAGAAGTCAATTAAAAGTATTTATAGATATTAAATATGAACAATAATTTGGTTTTCAAAAACCATCTACAAGAAGTAGAAATTAATTTTATGCTTTTTAGATAGCTTATGATGTTAGTATTCAAATCATTATATACTTTGTCGGTACAAAAGCAACTAAGCTACACTATATATATAAAGGGGCTCGAGAATTTTTAATCAACACCATCATTTTGGTTTCTTTTACCTTGTCTTATAAATTACAGACACTGTCCCTATCTAGAGTCCTCCACTATGAGAGGATGGAACAAGTGTGGTTTAATTGCTTCTACTAGATTTACTTGGTTCTGTGTAACTCTTCGTGAGCAACTAGAGCTTCCATGATGCTCTCGACCCACCTGCAACACACACACTCAAACCCATTGAAAATCCCGATGACGAGAGAGTACTCCATCGATAAGTTATGTAAGAAGAGGACTCAATTCAGAGACTAGTTGACATGTTACAACATATGAAAAGATTAAGATATTACCCTTCAAGTCCTGGTTTCTCTGGATAGTAGACGTTTTTCAATCCTAGTCGTCTTGCAGCTGAAGCAGTTGTCTCTCCAATGCAGGCAACGTAATTGCTCCATTGCTCGTCGTTTTGAATCAGATTCAGCCAGGCCCTGTCGTAATCAAGTAAGCAATGAACCAAACCCACTTGACCATATTAGAGAGATTATATGAATGACGGTTTGCTGCACCAATAACGGGTGATAAAAAAACAGACTGGTGATAAGCTGCAATAGTGCGTACCGAATTGCTGAAGGTGAAGCTACCGAAAGTACAGGAGCAGACAATGCCTCTTTTAGAAGTACCGTATCAACATTTTGTACAGGAACCTAAAAAGTGAGAATCCCAAATAAAAATGCTGGCTAAGACAAATAACGTATGCAATGAATAACATTTTATAAGGGCTTTTGTTAGTAAGTTTAAAGACGGCTTACTGTTGTGTATGTATTCAGCCTGGTAACTTCAAACCCACGTTTGGACAACCCTTCCTCTACGATTCATATTGCGAACATGAAGCAGAGTAAAGCTGGTCAGTCACTGAATTTGGAATCTACAACGATATTAACATAAACCAACTTTACTCTTAGCTATCTTCACCTATGTTTCTAGCCAACATAGATTTAGTTACTAGTTCATATGCCTGGAATTAAAGCACACAGCTACATGGAAAGAGAAAGAGCATAATGTACCATTGTTTCTCAACTTTTGGAATACTCTCACTTTGAACATGATAGCCAAGTCAAGAATGTAATTTACTAATCTATTTCTCCGGATATGCAATACTTATGCAACAGCCTTATAAAGTTGTACAGGATATGAATCACATGTTCTATTTTTATTATTCAGTCCTAAATATTTTTTTCCTATGTGGTCAACACAATAAGTTCAATTTAATTGAGAAAACCTAACAACACACACCAATATCATTGCCTGCTTTTAGAGAAGCCGGGTATAAGACAGAGGACCTTTTGCCAACTTTCACTGGAAGCTCCGAAGCCAAGACTTTACCAGTTGCTGAAATAACGAAAACAAAGAGAATGAGCCAGCCAATACTGTAACATTGTATGCACGACCACTCATCTATTTCCTATATATATATTGGCTTGATGGATGCAAACACATTAAAAAGATACATGAACGTTGATAAGGGAATGTCACGGAGAACAATATATAGCTTGGCTCAATGATAATTCATCATCTCATAAACTTAAATATGATCTTAGATGCTCTATAATTCACGGAAACAAACTATGACAAGGGTTATAAGGCACATGATCCATAATCTCACAAACCAAACATATATAACGATGATATCGTCATACATGAGTACATGTTGAAGGCATGTACGTGTTGAAGGTGAACATGTTGCAGATATGAAGACTAAAATGGAGTGTCAAGAAATTTTATATAAATTGAAAGTTACGAAACCTTTTGATGGCGTAAAGGCAACATGAAGCAATCCTTCTGTCAATTGTCTTGCCTCTTCAAATACCCTGGCTGTTCCAGCTCCTACTACACCTACTTGGACTTTTGGGGAGCTAGCTGCTCTAAGGAAAACAGGAAAATAGGACACAAATTGTCCATCATTTCTAATATTAACCTCGTTTTTTACACAGTTGTGTCAGAAATATGCATGAAGGCACATATATTTAAATACCTAAATAAAAACTAGACTAGTCACATTACCAATCAATAACTATAACAATGACAACTCTAGGATTACAGTACACGGTCACTACCAAAACATTGCATATTAACTAACTTTGTTCGAAGTAACTGATTAAGATTAGAGACCAACTCATTGCATTTTTTGACAACACATAGCTGACTAAATCAGTTCAAAATTCACAGAAATAAGAACCAGGGCTTACTTCCATGCCTCAAGAAAAACAGAACCTGCTTCTGGAGATGTAATAATAATCCAATCAAAGCTCTTATCTAGCAACATAAAACGAAAAAAGTCAGAACTACCCATCATAACACCAAAATCTACACCACAATACAATTATGAAGCCTTTTCTCAATCATAACAACAATCTTGAAAACTGAGTACTGAGTACACATAGGCATTCAAAACCATTCATTAAGCAATAACACAGCAATAAGACATAAGCATATGAATTCTTATAGCTACATCAGAAATCACCACTCAATATAGAAGCAAGCCGATGAAAATCAGGTCCCTCAGCATGTTGAATCAATGGAAGCTCTAATGAAGATATCCCATGTTTCTCCTACATACTCAATAATACACAAATTCAAAAAACATCATCATATGATCAGATTACATGAAAAAAACAACTAATTTGCATAAAAAAGTTTCATATTGTTCAATGAGGCAGAGTAAACCAGATTCTTGAAATTAGCCTATAGCTACATTATATAAGTTTTAAAGTTCAAAAAAAAAATTGCAACTTTGGTTGGTTTTGGCGAGAAGGGTCAAGAAATGCATACAAGGGCTTTGATTATTTGTTTGTTCTTGCCTCGTTCTCGGGTTACAACGACCTGTGGGATCGAATTGGATGATGTAACGGAGGAAGAAGATGAAGAGATTGATGGGGAAATTGAATTTCGAATTGGGGAAGGAGACGGGAGAACTACTTTTCTAGGAGATCGGATGTGCGAAGAATGAAAAGAAGATAGAAGAGAAGAGTGAGGAAGGAGCAGCAACGCCATTAGAGAGGGAGAGAGATGTTGTTTCTGGTCTTTTAGGTCTTTTGTGATTAGGATATTTCTGTATGAGTGAAATTTGCATTTTCCAAAGATAATTTTACATTGTCTACTTCCACAAAGGCTTTAGCCCAACTTGGCACGATAGAATACAAACAGGAATCATAATTTGAACACAAAATAGACTCCTTTGCAATTCTGGCCGCGACTCGATTAAAAACAATTTTTTTTCTGTTCAAACTGCTGGAGCAGATGCTTGATATCACTGATAATGGGGCTTAGTTGGCACTTCTTTGTTTCATCTCTGACCAGTGACACAAGTTGTTGAGAGTCTGTTTCGAATATTACCTTCCGGTAGTTTAGTCTTATCATGAGAGCATTGCCCATCTTAAGGCCTTCCATCTCAACCTCCGGCACTGTCTTTACTCTAGGCAGAGCCCTTGCAACAATCCATAGCACCTCCTTATCATGGTTTCTGAGAATCCAGCCTAGACCACATTTTTCATGTTCTAGATTCGATGCACCGTTAGTATTACATTTCACCCAGCCATGAGGTGGAGGGTTCCATTTAGTCCTTTGTGATTCTGGTCTTTGCATTTGGATTTGTTGGGGTTGCCTTTCCTTACTCAATCTCCATTCCTCTTCATCTTCTATTGCTCTTCTAATCAATGCTTGCATGTCGTAATCCTTTCCCTTGAAAATATAATCATTTAACCAATAATTTTCAAGACAATTGTTTTTAATTCTGTTTTTTTTTATCTATCTCATTATTTTTGCAGCCTTTTGTTTTTACCACTTTCGATCAAGGGTTTATTACGTAACATGTCCTTCAAATATGACCTTAGCAAACTATTTCATTAAGGTTAAATGAGATATTAACCTTTCCGGCTCGGTTTAGCGTTCTCAATAACGACCCGAGAACAGAATTTGGATACACACGTTTGAAATACAAACCTTGCTATTGGGCTTTCGTTTAAGTTTTTCCTGAACACATATGAGATTAAAGATTATATTGCTAATGGGTATCCTTAGTGGTATTCAAAAAGTAAACGATAGATTTGTGTGCAGTAGATGCCGAAATATGTGATCATAAATTAACTTCTTGCCTTATATTGCTAGAATCGTCCTATGATATCCTCTTTCTAAGTTTATCTATATAATACCTCCCCAAGTTAATCATTTACTCAAAGCCATATTTAATTTCCCATATCATAATATGTTCGTGATTTGTAATTGTAAGGAAAAATATTAACTAAAAAAGCATGATTGTAGGGCTTGATTGTAATCAAATTTCTGAAACGCCTCTTTGTAGACAACGTTAGTGATTGGAAGTAATCTAACTATGTGTGGGTACCGGAACTGACGTTCCGGGCTAACAGCCCATTCCGTTTAGGCCCGTTGGCGACGACCCATTATCGGAACTGCCCAGCCCGTCAGGCGAAGTCCAGTAGGAACCAAGGGTTTGAAAGGGGAATCGAAACGGGCTATCAGCGGGTCAAGCGGTGCTTTAATGAGAATGGCGCGATTCGCGGAGCGGAGTTCGCTGTATGTTTAATGCTTGCTAAAGTAGTATAAGTAGGGGGAAAAACAACGTGTAAAGGGTCGGATTTTTCTTTTGGCAAAACTATACTAAATAAAGATAAGCAAATTTCTCTCAGTCATTTCGCAATCCTACTTACGAGTTCGGACAGGGAATTAGGAGCCCACTCGAGTTCACTACGTTTCCAGTTCGTGGATTCCAGCTCCCACATTTTGGCGCCGTCTGTGGGGACACTTATTTCCTAACCCACTGATTCCTCGTTTCCGACCTTCTGTCCTCAGTCTAGCGAAATGTCAAGCGACGATAGTCAGGTAACCCTCAGTTCTATTCAGAAGTTGTTGCAGGATTTATCCGGGAGAACAGAACAGCAGCAGTCAGCTACAGCTGCGCTCTCGGAGAAGCTCGGAGGATTCGAAGAGCGGTCCACCGCTCCGGTGGCCGCCTTGTCCGAAACCGCCTCCGAGCTGTCCAACGCGCACAACGCTTACGCAGCCCAATTAGACGCGCTGGTGGAAGGGACGTCCGTCAGCACCACGCTCCGCAGATCCCGTATGCTCGATTTTGGTGGAGGGTTACCGGCAGCGTCACCGGGGGACGGGCGACCAGTTCCCCCAGCCGCTGCGAACTCAGCGGAAAACCAGCCAAGAGAGGCTGGTCTGTCGACGCTAGCACCTCCCACGAGTAGGAACTCCACGCCCGGCCATATCCGCACGCCAACCCAGCACAGGGCGGCGACCGTGCCCAATCCGGAGATCTCATTCCTCCAGAATGAGATCCGGGCCATGCAGTCAAAGGTCCACCATGCGACGAGCTCCGCTCCTGATATCGATCGAGTTATCGAAGAATCGAAGCGGACTCCGTTCTCGCGTAGAATCTCTATGATGCGCATCAAGGATGCGCGAAAAGTTAAATTTCTCAGCTACGAAGGAAAAGGTGACCCTAAAGTTCACCTCCACACTTTCCTCCTTACGGTAGGAAGGGTGGACTTCGAGCCTCAAGAGGAGGATGCAGGGTATTGTAAGCTCTTCGCCGAGACATTTGCCGGGCCAACGCTCCTGTGGTTTGCCTCATCTCAGGAAGGGACGATTGACAGCTTCACCCAGCTCTCCACTACGTTCGTGAAGCAATATTCGAGCTTCATATGAGTAGGAGTGACCGACGCTCAGTTATGGAACTTGAGCTAAGGTCCTAACGATTCACTTCGGTCTAACATCACCAAGTTTAAAGAAATAATGGTTCAGATTCCCGGACTCTCCGATTCAGCGGCGCTGTCCGCCCTTAAAAACGGTTTGTGGCAAGTGTCTCGACTCAGGGAAGAGTTGACGGTTAACCGCCCCTCCAGTATCCAGGACGCCTTTCATCGGGCATCGAACTGGATCGTAGCCGAGGAGGAGAAAGCCGCACTCGCCAAAAAATATAAAGTAGCCCCCAAACCAAGCTTCGACCAGGGAGGTAAACGAAGCGGGCAGGGACAAAGGCCAGGACCAGCTTCCTTCGCGGTGGACCACCAGAGGGGGGGGTCCTAAGGGCGCCCCATCGAAGCAAGGGTTCGGGCCGCGAGGTAGAAATGGGGCCTTACCAAGCAATAAATGGACCCGGGAAGAGAAGGAGGACGATTCTTTTTGCGAAGTCCATAAGGTAGCTGGGCACGCGACCCGGAACTGCAAAAAACTCATGCATTTACTCGCTGAAAGGTTCATGAACGGGGGGATGCCAGATATAACAATCGACGAGCTCGATCAAGCACATAATGCAATTTAGCTCGTAGCTGAGGCAGTTCCCGAAGAGGAGGAGCTCCCTCCGGCTAAAAAACCGAAGGCACTTATCGAAGAAATCCCTCAGGGGACAAAGAAGCGCATCGACGTGATCATGGGCGGGTCCAGAATATTTCGGAATTTTATCAGGGCCATTAAGGACCATCAGAGGAAGTTAAACGAATCGGCCCCAAAGAGACAAAAGACGCGCGAAGTCTACCCCGAGATATCTTTCTCGGAAGAGGAGACAGAGAACCTCGACTCCCCCCACGATGACGCGCTGGTCATTACATTGGATGTAGCGAACCACGAAGTGTGCAGGATGCTGGTCGATACGGGGAGTTCGGTAGATCTAATTTTTTTGGATACTCTCACAAGGATGGGCATAGACAAGAGCCACATCGTCGGACTCCCGGCTCCGTTATTATCGTTCACCAGCGAAACCTCGATGTCCTTGGGAACTATAACCCTTCCGGTCGCTGCGCAAGGAGTGTCCAAGATGGTAAAGTTCACCGTTTTCGACCGACCAGCGGCGTACAACGCTATTTTAGGGACTCCGTAGTTGTATCAGATGAAGGCGGTCCCGTCTACCTACCACTAGTGTGTCAAATTTACAACGCCTAACGGAGTCCGCGAGATAGTGGGTAGCCAGCGTATGTCCAGGAGCTTCTATCTGGCTGGGCACAAGCTCTTGATCCAATAGCAACCACAGCTCGAGGTCGCCAAGAACCCGATGAAGAGTAGGATGAACGGCGACCTCTACGAAGAGATCCAGTTTAATGAGTTGTTTCCCGAGCAGAAAGTAAAAATTGGGGCAGGCTTGCCCCCAGAGGTCAGGGAGAGTTGATAAGGTTCTTGCGAAGGAATATGTCAACTTTCGCATGGGAGGTGAAGGAAATGACAGGTATTAGCACCGACGTGATATCTCACGAACTCAGTGTCAACCCCACTTTCAAGCCAGTTCGGCAGAAGCGTAGAAAGTTGGGAAAGGAACGGGCCGAAGTGGTGAACGCTGAAGTGGACCGACTGCTCGAGGCTGGCCTTATATGGAAAGTCCAGTACCCGGAATGGCTGGCAAACACAGTGGTAGTCAAGAAAGAATGGCAAGTCGCGGGTCTGCGTTGATTTCACCGACCTGAACAAAGCTTGCCCGAAGGATAGTTTCCCCCTCCCGCACATCGACCGGTTGGTGGAATCCACTTCGGGGCACGAGCTGCTGACGTTTATGGATGCTTTTTCGGGTTACAACCAAATCATGATGCACCCCGATGACCAAGAAAAGACGTCTTTTATCACGGATCGGGGGACTTTTTGCTACAAAGTGATGCCTTTCGGGCTAAAGAACGCTGGGGCTACCTACCAACGGTTGGTGAACAGGATGTTCGCTGAACTGTTGGGAAAAACGATGGAAGTGTACATCGACGACATGTTGGTAAAGTCGATGGACTCCAGCCAGCACGTCGGGCATCTCGAGGATTGTTTTGCGATCCTCAACAAATTCGGCATGAAGTTGAACCCAACCAAATGCACGTTCGCGGTTCCTTCGGGAGAGTTTCTAGGTTATATTGTGACCGAAAGAGGGATTGAGGCAAATCCTAGGCAGATAAAGGCTTTTCTGTCAATGACTTCACCACGAAATCTCCGCGAAGTTCAGCGCCTGAATGGGAGAATAGCGGCTCTAAACAGATTCATCTCGAGGTCCACAGATAAATGTTTACCTTTTTTCGAACTCCTCCGAAAGGGCAACAAGAACTTTCGGTGGGATGATCAGTGCGAGGAAGCGTTCAGGCAACTCAAGCAGTATTT